ACAAGGAACGTTTAAATGGGTTGGTCACAAGTCTTTTTTCAGAGACACCCTCCACTCCACCCCACCCCAACTAGGGTTCTCTATATATTTCCCATTTACGGGCTAAAACCAGAACAATGTTCATGGAGAACCAGTTTATCCTTCTTCTTTCCTGTGTGTGTGTGTGTGTGTGTGTGCACATCTACACACAAGAAACCTAAATAATTCCATACAGTTCCTAACAAGGATGAAAAATTAGCGTAATTAATGCCTGATAGCAGCATCCATAAAACAATTCATAAATCAGAGCAACCTGAAGTCACTGTTCTACAACTAGCTTAAGGGAGGTCTATTTTGGAAAGGAGGAGAAGGACTAGCACATGTTTCTTCAAGGGCGCTAGTTTCCGCCTGGGGTCTTCACATACTGAAATGTACTATAGGCTCCAGTAGACGCTCTGTATATTCACTAAGCACACTGAAAAAGTTGTCATAAGTAAGGTGAGAAGTATATCGACGCATATTATCTGCCAACCTGTTCATGTGATTTTGTTCTAAATTGATTGAAAATGTTGGATTGAATGTTAGTGTTATTAACATTTTGACATCTGTGTTGTAAACCACCCTGAGATAATAACTGATGGAGGGGGTGTCCTATGGCAACATCTTATGAGATGAACAGCTTAGATTGCACTGGAACTCCAGCTCAGCCAGCTGATTCCTGGCTCAGCCAAGCTCAGTGGTTGTTCAGCCCCAACTCTGGCTCAGCCAAAGATACACCGGGGCAACTTGCTTTTCCCACCTCATCCAAAGCTAGCTGAGCTGAGGTTGGCACAAGTCTCCCCAAAAAGGTGTTCCAGGGCAGGACCAGAGCAGGGAAAATTTAGGCTGGATCCTAAGCACTAAATGGTTTGTTTTCTCTCTGCCAGGCAGCAGTAGAGCAACAGCAGCCCCACTGAATGGGGGTCTGCATGTGGTATGACTTTACCCCAGCTTAATTTACACCAGTTTTTTGGGCATTCTGATTGCTCCAGAAATGAAGTTTAGATGTCAAGTGAGTAAATGAATAAAGACAACTGGGGTAGAATCTACACACATGTTAAAAACATTGTGAAAATGCTTTTTTAAAAGATCATTTTGAAAAATGTACTGAATTTGCTATAGCTAACAGACGCCATCTAGTGCAACAATTGTATATTGCGCCTTACAACACATTCAAAACGTTTTATTTGCAGCTGCATAGCTGAGTCCTGGGGAGAAGGTAGGCTTTTGTAGGGTGATTATCAGTGCCTATATTCTACCCACCTGCTATTTGCAGACATTAATTAAAATGCATATTTTCTCTGCTCCTCTTTGAAGAAGGGGTGCTTTGAGACTCCCCCGCCCCATTCAAGTTCCATGACAAGCATTCCACCAGCTCATTATTGATTCTGTTCTTTGTTTTACTATCAGACTTACAAATACAAATTCTTCTTTCAAGTGGTAAATAATTAAACTGCAAAGACATTACAATACTCTGAGGGCCAATTTGAGAGCAGAAACTATTATACTTAAAGAGGAAAGCTTGAAGTTACGGACAGCAGCTTGGGTTGCCTCTGTTAGTTTAGATTGCTACTATTATATTTCTTCTCAATACAAATACCGGTACCTCTTAAGTGATGCTGATTATGTGGTAATGGGGAGCAGTAAATAACTATTTATCTGTCAAAGAAAATAAATACAATGCTAAAACTTCCTTTCCTGCTCAGTTGAAATCTCTGGTTATTTCTGCATCTAAGAAAGAAACATGGTTAATTACTTGACCCAGGACAAATGCCGGACATGTAGTCTCAATCAAATAAGTGGTACTATTTTTTGGTGTAGTTAAAGCAGTGCACATCCCAATAGGGGTACCATAAACTCTCCCTAGAATTTTTAAATATGCTTTCTAAGTAGCATTCTAAAAGTCTAAGCACATCTACTTGGAAGTAAGTCCTATGAATTTCAGTAGCATTTATTACAATTGAGAATATTTTGGGTTGCAGTCTTAGAAGCATCTCTGCAGTAACATTTGTGAGACAGGTTCACCACCATTCCTATGGAACATGGGTAGGCAAACTAAGGCCCGGGGCCCGATTGCGCCCAATCGCCTTCTAAATCCAGCCAGCAGACAGTCCGGGAATCATTCTACATGAGTAGAATGTGTCCTTTTATTTAAAATGCACCTCTGGATTATCTGTGGGGCCTGCCTTGTGTTTTTACATGAGTAGAATGTGTGCTTTTCTTTAAAATGCATCTCTGGGTTATTTGTGGGGCATAGGAATTCATTCATATATTTTTTTCAAAATATAGTCCGGCCCCCCACAAGGTCTGAAGGACAGTGGACTGGCCCCCTGCTGAAAAAGTTTGCTGACCCCTGTATAACAGAGTATATTGACAAGATCAAAAGAAGGCTGTTAGTCAAGCCCCACCTAATTCAAAGGAAATTAGCCTCCACTGATCTAAGCAAAATGTTTAAAATGACATAGTGTGTTCTCCTTCATGAAGAGCACGTGTTGCGGTGGGGTCTAGCAAGTCATCCCTCTGTTGCTGGGCAGGTAAGATTAAATGGCCACGTTTGCGACCTCTATGTTGTTGGGGAGATTTTAATGTTGCTATTCCTGATTGACGGCCTATTACCTTTATATTCCCTTCGCGCAGCATTGAGCTTCCTCTTTTCGCTGCGCGCATTGGATCACCTGCCCACCCTCCCTATATTTAGGGTTGTTTGCATTGACCTTGCTATGCCTGTCATGGGGTCGTCTGCTTTGAGGCAGGGGCCTGGTAGGAATTTTATCCATTTGGCAGATTGGCTGGTGCCATTTGGTTTTTGCCTACTGCGTAGCAAATCGTCACAACTTGTAAGGTTGTGGTTAGGCATTGGTTAATTTTTGGTTGGTGGAGGGGCATGGATTGGCGGTGCCTGCCCCTCCAATGCTGCTGCTGCAAGGGTATTCCATTAAAGGAATCCAGGGGCTCGCCATGCTCTTGTCTGAACCCCTGTCAAGGGGCTAGGGCCACGCAAGAGCCCCTGGGAGCATTTGGGGAAAGGTGAGGGCCTGGCACCCAGCTCCATTTTCTCCCCAATTTTTCCCCCTTTCTGACTTTCGCAGGTGGGGACACATAGTCGCAACCAATGCCTAAACAACCACTCACATTTTTTTGTATTTTAATAAAGTTGTGGCCAAAATTATGCCAAAAACCTTAAACAAAAATTCTGTGTGAATTGTGTTTTATTTGAGGGTGGCTTGGGGACCTCAACATGCAACACACCTAACATTCTTTTAGGATGGCTTCCATATCTGTTATGTTATTGTAGTTCTTTTTAAGGATTCAAAAAACTGCAGTTTTCAAAGCTGATTCAAGAATAGGGGAACTTAACTGTTACTGACTGTCACTGTCAAGTCGTTTTATTACAGTCAATGACCAGTATCAATATAAAAATACCAGTTACAAAATTGACTACCACTGAAAAGCTTAGGTGCTAATTAATGCCAGGTAGGATTTATTCCATTAGTTTATCCGGCCATAAGTAGCCACCAAGCATGATTGTAAGTCATTTCTGATTTATTCTAGAGTACCCTTAAAACCTTTGAACAATTCTTTTTTTCAATTTTCATGCTTTTTAATGCAAGGCCTATTGAGCCTCTTCTTATTATGGGTTTCTGATTGGCTTTATAGCCTGACCTCGCTTTCATTAGGATGCTGCTTTTGCCTACAATCTGCAGATAAAGATAATAGGCAGAAAGAGGAGCAGCGGTATGGGTGAAAAGGAATCTGCCTCCAGTCTTGGTGCCTCCAGACATTTACAGCATACAGTATCTGCATGGATGAGTGAGTTTGGGATAGGCATATCTTGGGCTCTCTTGGCTCAGTCAGGGCTCAGCTGGAGCTATGGGGGTAAGTCCAATAACCCATCTGAGCCAGGGCTATGCTGGCTTATCCAGGGGTCAGCTGACAGATCTTAAGCTGGTGGAACTTATGCTGGCATAAGAAAAAAATTGGGGGTACACCCAGTGCTTTTTTTCTAAAAAAAATGTTTAGGGATACTCTCATTTTCCTACTCATATTGAAATATTTCCCCTCAATGAGCCCAAACTTTGATCCACAAAATGTTTAGGGGTATGCGTACCCCTGCATCCCCCCAGAAAAAAAGCACTGCTTACCCCTATTCCAAATAATAATAATAATAATAATAATAATAATAATAATTTATTATTTATACCCCGCCCATCTGGCTGGGCTTCCCCAGCCACTCTGGGTGGCTTCCAACCAAATATTAAAATACAGTAATACATCAAACATTAAAAGCTTTCCTAAACCCATTTCAGCTCAATCACACAATCTTACAACCCAACAGAACCCACACCAGCTAAAGGATGGTGTAAGTGAAACTCTATTTTAAAGGCTTGGTTTTTCCTCTGGCCCAGAGAGCAGTAGCACTGCTCCTGAACTGAGTTTGGAATAGGGGTAACTCATGCCAGCTTATTTTAAGCGAACATACATTCCACTGGTTCCCTCTGTTTAGGATGGCTCTGGCAAATGCCTTGGTGTTACCTCTGGATAAAGAAGTTGTAGCCATAATTATACCCTGGGAAAACTTCCCCCAAAATAAAAAAAACCATTTCCTCATGTCCATGAGCAACATTGCTCAGTCACTGATTACACATACCATAAGTAGTTTTCATATTTCTTGTTCTGCTCTGTGTTTGTGATCGTGTTCTATGGTAGAAACAACATTTCAACAGAGAACCGTTAATTGTTTATTAAGTTGTCTTGTATTTCATTGATTTCTAAGTCAACTGAGACTTCCTTGAGAAAATCAGTAAATGTAATTATTATTAATACTAATGATAATTTGAAGCTAAACATTGAGGGAACATGAGTATATTGATGTGTAGAGTGGGCATGCTTCAAAATACACAGAACTCTTCATCAGACAGAATGGATAAATCACAGAATCACAGAGTTCGAAGGGGTCACAAGGGTCATCTAGTCCACCCCCCTGCAACGTGGGGCTCCAACCCATGACCCTGAGATTATTAAGTCTCATGCTCTTCCAACTGAACAAAAAGCAAACAAAAACTTACAAAGCCACTCCTTCCACCACCCTCTGTTTGTTCCCATCTGCCTTTCTTGGAAAAACTATACTGATTCCGTTTTATTACTGTTTACAAAACATGTTCAAATGTTCTGCATTTCTCTTGAAAAAAGCATGCAAAAATGAAGCCTTCCTGGGTAATTGTGAAAATTACATTTTAATTATATACCTCCACTTCCAGTTTTTCCTCACGTTGCTTAGAGAAGGTAAGCAAGAGGAAGAAATTACAGAATATTGCACTCACACTAATTATGCAATTTAACTTACTTAATGTTGAAGTGCTCTGGGTATCATAAACAATCCAGCTTCCTCTGAAGAAGCCACTAAACATTTTCATGCCCGTGTGCTTGGCACATTGAGCATGAACCATAAAAATAAATATTGCTCTTACACCGTGTGGTGGGAATTATGTATTTCATGGTAGAGACGTGATTTCAACAGAAAAATCCCTATGCGTGAGCCAGAGTCAATACTGCTACTGAGCAAAAGAAAAGAGAATCTGTGCAAATGGAGACATTCACAGCCAACTGTAACCTGGTATAGCCCCACAACCTTAAATAAATGTCCCATGTAAGAAATCTGAGAATGGTAGCCCAAAATGCTTTTCCAGACCACTGTCTCTTGTATCATTCAGTGACATCTATCTGCAGATAACATATAACCAATCATCAAGAAATTAAAGTGCCTACATACTGAAATTTACATGTGCAAAGAACAAAAAGATCCATGCTCGTTGTGTTAGTCCTCTTTCTAATTCTGTTCTTTCAAAACAATAGCACATTATAGGTTTGTTTGTGTTTCAGCCTCAACAAGAATTCTTCAAGTTCTTATCTATACTTTAATAGGGACAACAAAAGAGAAACCATCAAAGTCTTCTCCTTTGCTAAGGAACCTGAAAAAACTTTCCATAGACATGATGGAGACCCATCCAGACACCTATGTAACTGGTGTTTTAAACTAGTCTGAAAGAAACATCACAAATATCCTTGGATACTTTCATGACTTAACATAAGAGCATAGGGGGTACCAAGGATGGAAGAAAAATGCCATGACTAAAGGCATCCACTAAAGGCCCAAGGTGCTTTCTGATCATGCCCACAGCTGTGTCCCATTCAGCTGCGCTCTCCACACCCAGTTCCAGGAGCAGATATGGCTTGGGAGGGTGTGTGGCTGGGCAGAGTCCCAAGGGCCAGGCAGAGAGTTCTGGAGGGCCACATTTGGCTCCTGGGCCTGATGTTTCCCTATCCCTGGTCTACCTACAGCAGTCTCCAGGATCTCAGGCAAAGGTACCTGATCTTTCAACTGGATTGAACCCTGGGCCGCCTTTCTGCGTGCAAAGCTTGTGTTCTGACACTAAGCTCTAGTCATTCCCCAGGCCAGAATGCTTTTTAGATCACAGACTAAATATTCTAGAAACCCTGATGAATTATGTGGAAACCTTTTATTTCATATTGCTGTCAACAGTTATTCAGCAACTGAGACCTCTGTCTGGCTCATTATTACCAAAGGAAAATTCATATTTCTGGAGGAGAAATGTTAAATATCTTTTTTCCTCATATCCATTGCAAACATCTGCTTGCGCCGGTTAGCATATTCACAAAGAGTGTAACAAATCTTCAAATTAGGACAAAAGGACTAATACACAAAACTGGGAATGCTGCCATTGTATTTTTCTTTTAGGTAAAAAAAACAACAACAACAGACAAAAAACCCAGCTCATTTCATCTATGCTCAGATGTTTAGAGTTAAAATTACAGTTCAAGTAATATTGAATCGGATATTGAAAAGCCACAGCGATTTGCAAAAGAAAATTAAAAAATAAATCTAAAGCAATTTTAGAGGCTTTGGGCTCCAAGATTAGGAGTAAGCTCCGATATATATGGGGAACAAACAGAAGGATTATTTCTCAATAAAAATCAATCCAGGGCTAATCTTAGGGCAGCATTTATTTTGGTTTCTTCCTCCTCTACCCCCACCTCCAATAGAATGCTTAACATTTTAAGTTTAAAAAATCAGCTCTGCCCCTTCCAAAATTGAATACACTTCCATTTTCAGAACACAACTCAGAATAATGTGACTTGATCCTATATGTGTCATTTACTCGGAAGTAAGTTCCTCTGATTTATTCTCTGAAGTGGGCATACAATACAGTGAGACTTCTCTGACACACACAGGGTCATAGCTTTTTCAGCCATGTCAACCTGGATCCAGGTCAGCTGCAATATAATGATGACAGCTTGGTGTAGTGGTTAAGAGTGGTAGACTCCTAATCTGGTGAACCGGGTTCGCTTCCCTGCTCCTCCACATGCAGCTGCTGGGTGACCTTGAGCCAGTCACACTTCCTTGAAGTCTCTCAGCCCCACTCACCTCACAGAGTGTTTGTTGTGGGGGAGGAAGGGAAAGGAGAATGTTAGCCGCTTTGAGACTCCTTCAGGTAGTGATAAAGCGGGTTATCAAATCCAAACTCTTCTTCTTCTTCTTCACCCTAAGTTGCCATGGTGGGTTACAACAATTAAAACACAGCATTCATATTAAAACACCTAATATGACAAAGGGTTTTAAACAACCCAAAATCTGCACTTGTGGTCTAACATCCTTAGACTCTTTTCCATTTGTTTCTTTTTCAATAGATTTTTCACGTGCAATGCAATCTGATGCATGTTTTCTGAGAAGGGTTTCATGAGACCGCTAAGTGAGTATCCATAGGATTGTGACCTGAATCTTGTCATCTATACAACCATACCAGTTAGGGACTCCTGAATGCCTGTGTTTATGTTGACACCTACAGAAAAGAGGATGTATGGGCCCATCAAAAGAGATGCCACCTGGCTTCCTTAACGGAGGCAAAGGTGTGAACCAGGAGTGCCTTATCTAGCAGAGTGGCTGTCACTGCCACTTATCAGGATAGTGTCATGGTGGGGGCTGGAGGTGCATAGGAGCACCAGATTGGATCTGTTGGTGCCCTCACATAGCCTGGACCTTACCAGGGATTATGGTCTGGAGGGCAGCAACACAGTACCATCCTGGCATTCTGGAGGTCCCATGCCCGATGAGAAGGTAGGAAGGTTTGCTCATGTTACTAGAGGACAACCAGTGTATGCCTGCTACGTTCTTGCCCTTTGTGACTAGGCCAGAGTTGGCTCACTCTTCAAACAAAATGTGAATTTTCTGAGACAGCGTGCTGGGGAAATAGAGGAATGTGCTTCCTTAACAACGTTGCTTATTATTCTTTGTCAGGACCCATAATTTAAATAATCAGTTGATCTTTCAACACTTCCAACTAAATCTATTTTTAGTCATAATCCTTTTTTTAAAAAGGAGATTGCCTATCTTGTTTCTCCACAAACTAGATAAAGTATAATGTGATTTTCAGCATCTGCGCAAATGAAAATCTTTTTAAAAACTGCTTTTAAGCTGAATGTGTGTGTTCCTTCATCACACAGCTTTCATGGCAAATGCCATTCCTCCCTCTCTTTTTTGAAAGAAAAAATCCATTTATGCTGAAAAAACCCACATTTGCATTTTATTAATTATGTTTAAATACAACTTCAGAGCTGCAGCAGCAAGGCAAACAAGGCCGATGAATTGTGCTCAGGTATGTACAAAGAGGAGGCACGAATTGTTAAAAACAACAAGCAAATTTAATTAAGAAGGGAAGTTCAGAGGCACAGCAGAATAGGAATTAGTTTCATGACATGCAAGTAAGGATTTAATTTCTGAAAAGGAAAGACATCCTTTTGTAACAACGTAATTATCAGTGCAGCCAGAAAATCCATTTGCTTATAGATTAAAATCTGGATAAGTGGCTCCAAATGTGCGATTAAATGCTTCAAACACTCAGCCATGGAATATTTGACAACAATAATATCCGATGGGACATATCTGAAAATATTAGGATCAGATCCTCTCTCTGATCTTCACAAGGCTTATTAATACACCTAAAGATAAAAGCCAGATTTGTCCAAATCCATTTGGATGTGAAACAGGGCCAGTGAGGGGTAGAGCCTAGGGAGCGGGTGTCGTGTGGGTGTCGTGTTCTGCATGCCTGATAGAAAGGTTTGAGGGCCACATTTGGTCACTGGGTCTAAGCCTTAAACGTAGGTCCTTTGCTTCAGGGAACTAGATGCAAACACCTATCAGAGTGATACTCTGCCTGCTTTTTGGCCCTGGCCTCTCTGATTCCATCTTTGACCAACCATCATTCTGTAGCTCAGCAGGAGAAAAGAGAGAGCTATTACAAGAATGATAGCACTTTATATTTAGGGATATTTATATAAAGACAACCTTTTTTTTCCCCTTAAAACTCCTCAATAGAGTTGATTGTTTTAATGCTCTATTAACCACACAAAATTATGCTTTTCCCAGTAGGATTTTTTTCTGGAACACAATACTGCAGCAAAGCCTTTATGGTATATTACAAGTTGTAAAAGAGCCTAATTAATAACTCAGTGGACTGGATTCCCTACAGGCCTGTAGGCAGAGCTCTAGTGAAGTCTAGCACATACTTAAAAGAAAATGTGCATCTCTCACTTCAGTGGAATATTTGCACATTGGTTCCCAGCAGACTGCGCCCAGAAAGTTGGGCCCAATATTCTCTTTTCGACGAACACTTGACAAACTCCCGCTGTGTTTCTTGCCACCAGCGGCTACCTTTCTCACAACACGAATACTTGCAGATTAAATAAAACTTGCCCACACTTAACTATCTGGGTGCAATCCTGATGATCCAACAGCTTTGACTGCTTCATCATTTAAGCAATGAGATTATAGCCTTTTTCTTCCTGATTTGTCAAGCACGGCAGATGCTCTTGCTTTAATTAATAACTAGCATTCAGTGACCCATCAGTCACACTGACCCTAATTAAAAGCAGCTCAGAGAGTGTACATGTGTACTTTATCAATAGCGGTGGGAAGTGATGAGCATCAGCTGCTGAAGTACAAGGTGTCATGTGCTTCAGCCTGACCTTTTTAACAG